ACCCGAACCTCCTCCCTTAGTAGCCTGTCATAAGACTGCTACACTCCAAACCACTATTCACCTTCCCTCATCACTGCACGGCTAAGTACCAAACAACTAGGACAGCCCCTGTACCCCAGAGCCCGTTGAAATTATTCAAACTAACCAATCCTAAATCTGCTTATCCTGCCTCACCCACTTCCTTCCTAGGAAAGACAGGCTTTTGCCCAGTTTCTCCTCACTCCCTCTGCCTTCTGACCAACCCTGGTGTTTGCCATGTAGCCCTGCATGCCCTGGTGTGCCCCCTCCTCTTGGAACTGCGAGCAACAAACTTATCTTTTCATTACCAGTCATCCCCGGATCTGTTGGTCTCACCACACCTGGATAATAATCAAACCCACATTTTACATACTATCTCTTAGCATCTGATTGGCAAAAAATACAAAGCTTGACAACTCACTATTGGTGAGGCTCTGGGGAAACAGGCACTCTCACACATGCCTAGTGGGAATGCAGAATGGTTAAACTTCATGAAGGAAAAATTTTTAATGTCTAACAAAACTACCTATGTGCTTACTGGTTTTTTTTTGTTTTTTGTTTTTTGTTTTTTTGAGATGGAGTCTTGCTCTGTTGCCCAGGCTGGAGTGCAGTGGCTCTATCTTGGCTCACTGCAACCTCTGCCTCCCAGGTTCAGGTGATTCTCCTACCTCAGCTTCCCGAGCAGCTGGGATTACAGGTGCCCGCCATCACGCCGGGCTGATTTTTGTATTTATAGTAGAGATGGGGTTTCACCATGTTGGCCAGACTGGTCTTGAACTCCTGACCTCAAGGGATCCCCCCACCTCGGCCTCCCAAAGTGCTGGGATTACAGGTGTGAGCCACCACGCCCAGCCTTGTGCTTTTTGACTCACCAATCCCACTTCTAGGGACTTACCCAGAAGATACACAATACAAAACACATAGACACAAGAGTATTGATTGCAGCATTGTTTGTAATTGCAAAATATCAGAAACATACTAAATCCCTATACGTAGGCTATTTGTTGAATAAACTACAGAATAACCACACTATTGGATGAGAGAAGTGAGAAAGGTCTCTATGAACTGATATGAAATGATTTTCAGGATATATTATTTTGTGAAAAAAAAGGCAAAGTAGAAAAGACTATATGTAGCATCTTTTGTGTAAGAAAGGAATAAGAAAAAAACTGTTTTTGTTTTTGTTTTTGTTTTGATACAGAGCCTTGCTCTGTCACCCAGGCTAGAGTGCAGTGCCGTGACCTCAGCTCACCACAACCTCCGCTTCCAGGGTTCAAGTGATTCTCCTGCCTTAGACTCCCAAGTAGCTGGGAGGTGCCCGCCACTGCGCCTGGCTAATTTTTGTATTTTTAGTAGAGCCGGGGTTTCACCATCTTGCCCAGGCTGGTCTCGAACTCCTGACCTCGTGATCTACACGCCTCGGCCTCCCAAAGTGCTGGGATTACAGGCGTGAGCCACCATGCCCGGCCAAAAACGTATCTATTTAATTTTGCAAAAAGAAACATAAAACAGATAAGTCAGAAACGAGTGAGATTAGTTTCCTACAGGGGATAAATAGATGAGGATGAAACGGAAGGGATAAAAAAGTAAAACGACACTTTTTAAAATATCAATGTTTTGACTCTACCTACAGAACCATTTAATGATTAATATGTTCAAGAAATAATAAATTGACCAGGCACAGTGGCTCATGTCTGTAATCCCATCACTTTGGGAGACCGAGGCAAGCAGATTGCTTGAGACCTGGAGTTCGAGACCAGCCTGGTCAACATGGCGAAACCCTGTCTGTACAAAAAACACAAAAATTAGCTGGGCATGGTGGTGCAACCTACTCAGGAGGCTGAAGCACGAGAGTTGCTTAAGCCCAGGAGGTGGAGGTTATAGTGAGCTGAGATCACGTCACTGCACTCCAGCCTGAGCAACAGAATAAGATTCTGCCTTAAATAATAAATAAATAAATAAATAAATAAATAAATAAATAAATAAAATCAACTGGGAAAATTCCTCATATACAAACAGAAACAATGAACCTAAATATATTTCAAATGAACAATTCTGAAACTTTCTGTGTATTGGACTGAGCAAAGGAGTAAATGTATCAAAGACGTTAGGAGCCAGATTTCACCCTTGGGAGAAGAGAGTTTCAATATGAAACTGGAGACAGCTAGGCCAGTAACACCAAGGATTTTGGCAACCACCAGAACAGGAGAGCGGCATGAAACAGATTCTTTCTCAGAGCCTCCAGAAGGAATCAACCCTGCCAACATCTTGATCTTGGGTTTCTGGCCTCTACAACTGTGAGAGAATAAATTTCTGCTGTTTAAAATAGAAAGAAAGAGAAAGGGGGAGGAAGAAAAGAAGGCAAGCAAGCCAGCAAGGGAGAACCCTTCGGTGTTGGAATGGAACTGGAAATATGAAGTTGTTCTCTTAAATACACACACACACACATAAAAGAGGAAACTAAATAAATTAGATTGATTTTAAAACATATATCTATATACAGAAATAGATGCACGCGTTTATGCGTTTATGTGTTTATGTGCGTATGTGCACGTGTGCATGTGTGCTCCTAGCTCTGCACACGGGAACAGCCTAGAAACACTGACATCTCCATGGGAATGATCACACCTGTGCCTCATGGACAAGAACCTGGCTCCTTGAAGAAAGGCCTGATTGCAGGGCTGGGGCAGGGAAAATACAGTGGAACCCAGAACATCTTGATGTGCCAGGAAATAAGAAAGCGCTCACAGGCCGAGTGAAGGGGCTCACGCCTGTAATCCCAACACGTTAGGAGGCCAAGGAGGGCAGATCATTTGAGGTCAGGATTTTGAGACCAGCCTGACGAACATGGTGAAACTCCCTTTCTACTAAATACACCAAAATATATTACCTGGCCCTGGTGGTGCATGCCTGTAGTTCCAGCTACTCGGGAGGCTGAGCCAGGAGAATTACTTGAACCTAGGAGGCGGAGGTTGCGGTGAGCTGAGATCGCACCACAGCACTCCAGCCTGGGCAACAGAGCAAGACTCTGACTAAAAAATAAAATAAAAAAAGAAAGTGCTCACAAAATAATGGGGATATGTCAAAGGATATGGGAAACAGCTGTTAGGACAGAATGCTGGACAACGTTGGGATGATTAAAGCATCAAAATAGATCATGATAGTGATGAATTATGACCCACTGAATAAAATAAGAATCCATGAGTTCACAATGATAATAAATGAATGAATTGATGAGAAGAAAAGCTCTTTCTTTTTTTTATTCTTTGTAGAGATGGGGTTTCACCATGTTGGCCAGGCTGGTCTCGAATTCCTGGGCTCAAGCAATCCTCCCACCTTGGCATGAGCCACTACTCCTGGCACGACTTTCTGTAAGTTTGAAATTATATCAGAATTAAAAGCTGCCTCTCACAGGCTCACACACACGCAAAACTAATACATGGGTAAAAGGGTCCACTAAATGCCCAGCATAATGAATGGAACAAGTCATATGACAAGGCCTGTGTGGCAGTTGATTGTCCCCCCCAACACACTTTGCTTTCTTCCTTCCTAATCTACCTTGATTTTTAGTACCAGTAGATTTTTTTTTAAACTAGAACATGTAATACTTTAATTTTAAACATTAAAATTCATTAAAAGGCCAGGCACGGTGGCTCACACCTGTAATCCCAGCACTTGAGGAGGCCGAGGCAGGTGGATCACCTGCGGTCAGGAGTTCAAGACCAGCCTGGCCAACATAGCAAAACCCCATCTCTACTAAAAAAAAAAACAAAAATTAGCTGGGCACGGTGGCACACACCTGTAATCCCAGCTATTTATAGGGAGGCGGAGGCAGGAGAATTGCTTGAACCTGGGAGATGGAGTTTGCAGTGAGCTGAGATCCCGTCATTGCACTCCAGCCCGGGCAACAAGAGCGAAACTCCTTCTCAAAAAATAAAATAAATTAAAAGAAGAAAGTGTGTTCCCCTAAATAAGAAAAAAATGAGTGTTGTTGAGTGAACATGTGAGTGAATGAGTGAATCAGTGAACGGGGAGTGAATGAATGGACTGAACAGGTGAGCAAAGTGAGAATGAACTGAGGCTTCCCCTCAAGTGCCAGACCTTTTCATCTACAGTTTCCCTGCACCTGTAGCCTCACCCACTCAGGGGAGGAGGCCCAGGATGCCTTTTTTATGGCTGACCACACCCAGGCAGCCAGGCTGGCCAAAGTGCATTTTCTCAGAGTTCAGGCCAGGGGATCCCTGCTACTTCCGCCTCTCCATTGCCCCACCCCACCCTTCCCCTGTTCTTGCAGAAAGACACACCAGCTTGCTGGGAAGACAGCGTCAGCCTGGCAGCCAGGTGACCCAGGTCCGGTGCCAGGCCTGTGCCTGACTGGCCACGTGACTAGTGGTAAATATTTCACTTCCTAAGGCCTCAGTTTCCCTGTTTGCTCCTTTAAGCAGTTTGGGCAAATCAGTGGCTCACAGTCTTGGCTGCACATTGAAATCAGCTGGGAACCTTTTGAAGGTTCTGGGGCTCTGATTGCATCCAGACCAACTAAATCAGACTCTTTATAGGGTGGGACCTGGGTATCCACAGTTTTTAAAGCTTCCCAGGTGACTTCAATGCACACCACGTTTGAGAGCCGGTGGGCTACGATCTCCATAGCTGCCTCCGGCTTTTTTTGTTTTGTTTTGTTTTGTTTTGTTGTTGTTTGGGGGTTTTTTTTTGGTGTTTTTTTTATTTTATTTATTTTTTTATTTATTTTGAGATGGAGTCTTGCTCTGTCGCCAAGACTGGAGTGCAATAGTGCGATCTCGGCTCACTGCAACATCTGCCTCCCAGGTTCAAGTGATTCTCCTGTCTCAGCCTCCTGAGTAGCTGGGATTATAGGCGCACGCCACCACGCCCAGCTAATTTTTTGTATTTTAGTAGAGACGGGGTTTCACCGAGTTGCCCAGGCTAGTCTCGAACTCCTGAGTTCCAGCAATCCACCCACCTCAGCCTCCCAAAGTGCTAGGATTACTGGCGTGAGCCACCACGCCCAGCCAGCTCCCTCTAGTTTTTTGATGCTGAGGCCCACCCTGATGCCCCGTCTGTTTGCCCGTCTTTTGTCATTGGAGGGTTAAATGAAATGTGAGTGTCACCCGAACATCTGGGTTCCTATCTGTGCACCTCCTCCTGTCTTCAGTCTGCCTTTGAGGCAGCAGCCTCACTGGGGACTTTGACCGGCCCCACCCGTTCTTCAGTGAACCTCCTGCTCCAGCTTCTGCCTCCTCCATTTTGATGTCTAGAATCAGGGGATCCAGGATCATCAACAAGGTCATTTTCCCAGGTATGGAAGGGTCTTTCTGCTTCTTTCTTGTCATGCACAGCTGCTGAGGAAGGGGCTGGGAGAAAAGACAGCGAAATGGGGAGGAAGATTCCATTCAAACCAAGAAACAAAGTGTTTGGTTTTTCTTACCCCTGATGAAGAAGCTACCAACCTTTTCCAAGGAGGTCCTGGCCCCCTTCTCGGGTCTGGCTGGGTGCCTGCTGTGCCTCTCAGGCCTCCCCTCTGAAGGGCACCATTCCCTTGGGTGGGTACTACTGGTTTGCACCATCTTCCAGTGGAGACAGCCTAAGAAGGGAGTCTGGAGCCTTGAACTTCAGTACCTTCCTTCACTGGCCTCACCCTGTGCAAATCATGCCACACACTGGAGCCTCCTTTTCCCTGTCTATAAAATAAAAATGACCCTGCGCTATCTCACTGGGCTGGCAAGAACACACTGTTGTTGCCTTGCAGACAGGTGTGCTGAGGCTGTAGAAAGTGCTTTTTATTTGGTTGGGAGCTTGTGCATAAATGCGAGAGGGGCTGCACATCTGACGGACTACAGAGGTGACTCATGGCTGAACCGGAACAGGATATCGGGGAGAAGCCAGCAGGTGAGTCTGGGAGTCCTGTTCCCAACATGGTCCTCAAGGAGGATGGGGCAGGGGGCTGGGGAAGGCTGGGACAGGGGTGAGGCTGTTTCCAGCAGTGCCCCGTGTCCTCCCCCACTCTGCCAGTGGGGTAGTGAAAAGCAGAGCAACTAGACCAAAGGTCCTTTCAGAAGGAAGCAAGTGTCTATAGCGACAATAAATAATAATAGCAGCCGGCAATTACTGGTGCTTACCACTGCTAGGAAGTTGTACCTTCTGTGTACTTTGTCATCGACTTCTTACAATCTGGTGAGGTAGGATGGTTAACCCCATTTTCAGATCAGAGAGGGTATATAACTTGCCCAAGGTATCAAATTTGCCAAGTGGCAGAGGAATTCAGACCCAAATCTGCCTGAGTGCAAAGGGCATGCTTTGTGACCTCTATGAGACCCTGTCCATTCACAGAGCTGGACACTGATCACAGAATAAAATGCTTTCAAACCTAGTGGAGGGGGCAGGGAAAGTTCTCGGGCTGTGTGTTGGGTGAGTTAGCAGTGAGGCAGGAAGGCCTCCTTTCAGGTCAGGTACTGGTATCTGTATCAGGTATCGGTATCAGGTCAGGTACTGGCAGGTGGGCTGCGGCCCAGCTGCTACAGGGGCTGCCTGAGAAGGGACCACAGCCCTGAGCCACCTCCAGGGTCCAGCACTGAAAGGCAAAGAGAAGACTGCAGATCCCCGCTCACTAGGGGAGGGGACATTATTCCTGTTCTGGGAAGGGGCTGAGTTGGGCAGGAGCGTCTCCTCTCCTTGGAGGCATTTGGCAGGGTGGCACAAACAGGGCTGACTTCATAAGGCTATAATCAGTGCAGTTGCCCAGGGCCTTGCATTCAGAAAGGCCCTGGCTTGGGGTTCAACATTCTGTGGTTGTTGACTTGAAATGTATCATAATTTTAGCCTTGAACGTGTTTTGTGAGTGGAGTCAGATGGGACAATGGAGCATGTGCCAGGGTTGGGAGTTGGAGCCTCAGCTCATGCGTATGGTCTCCACACCCAGACCAGCCCCACCACTGCTGTAACCCTCTGCCAGAGTCCCTCATTCCGCTGTCACCTTTGCACAGGCAAAACAAGGATCAGAAGTTGAGGAGTGGCAGGCAGCCCTGGACACACTCACCCACCCCCATCCAGCTAGTTGGCGCGTTCCAGTGGGGAGGTCGAAATACCTTGGGCGTCACCCATTTGCCCTGGGTTACAGCAGCGGCTGTGAGAAGGAGAAATTGGTTTCCTCTTCATTTTCCTTTTGCACTCGGCTCTGCAAATTATGTAGTTGGCCCTGGTCACATCCATGTCTGGCCATTTACCAACCTGAACAAATTACTTCCCCTTTCAGCCTCAATTTTCCTGTCTGAAAATGAAAATAATAATGTCCATACCCCACAAGATTCTTTTGCGGACAGTGAGGATTTTCTCTTTTCCAGAATTCAAGTCTGATTATGACAGCTCTCTGCTAAAAACTATGTATGTAATTTGTATGTAATTTGTAATTTAAAATAGCTAGTAGCCACATTTTAAAAAGTAAAAACAGGTGAAACTAATTTTAATAATATACTTCGCCCACTATATACAAATCATTATATCAACATATAAGTATGAAAATTTTTTATTGCCTCCAAAATCCAGGGTATATTTTACCTTATTGCGTATCTTATCTCATGTGACAAGGGGCTACGTAATTGGACTAACTGGCCCCTGCCAGCCTGTCTGACACTCAGTCCCCCTATGCTCTCTGCCCTGCAGCCATCCTGAACTCTCCACAGGGTCCTGTGAAAAGCTCTTCACCTCCTCTGCCCTCTGGATCTAGTTAAGCCTATTCATCCTTCAGATGTCAGCTCCAATAATCAACCTTCACGGAGGCCTCCCCTGACCCCTAACATGCTTTCAAAGTATTGTGCATTGCACATTCATCATGCCCCCCACAACTGTGATTTCCCATTTATTAACATCTGTCTCTCCTACTAACCTGCAAACTCCAGGAGGACAGAGACATCTTTGGGATTTTTGAATATTATTTCCCCAGGCCTTAGCCCAGTGCCTGGTGCAAAGCAGGCTTTCAACATGTTCAGTGGATATTGTAAGAAAGAAAGAAGTACGCAAAAGGCCTGGCATATGCAAAGCGCTTTAAATATTCACTCCTTTCCCTTCCCTCTGGGTGAGAAAATTTCTCCTTATAAAGGCACCCTCCTCACTGTGTATCTCTGCTAGAGAACTGAAGACATAAAGCACTCTGTGCCAAAAATATTTAAGTAAAAACTTGAGCTAAGCACAGAGATTATAAATATTTCTTCCCCAGATTACGCACCATTTAAAAATACTGTCTCAGCTCCTTTTCATGATTTGGGTGGTGATTAAAGAAAATTACTCTTCAAGACTGAAAGTCATTACTGCCCTTTTCCTGACTTGCCTTTCCCCTTGAGAAGGGGAGGATAAGCTGCAGGGCAGGAAATGGAAGTGGGGCATCCTTGTCCTTTGTCTGGCGGACAGCCAACTGGTGAGGTACTGCTCCTTCTCAGCTCTCTCCTGATTCTTTCGCCAGTGAATATAAACAACAAGGCACAAATCCACACTTGCCAATGGATCCAAGTGATAACAGGAAACCCAACGACATCTGTCTAGGTGAAGACTCAGCCCCTACGTGACAATGTAGCAAAGCCAAACTGACATTCTGGTTTCCATTTGGACTTTTAGTTCATACTGTATCTTCTCAGGACAGTTAAGTTGGAATACAATGCCATTGTCCTAAAAGATGCTAGAATTATCCTATTTCTGGAGGAGTGGGGGTGGTGGGTAGGAATCTCAAGAGCTATTTGCTCCTCTGCACAGTAGCTTCTTTAAGGACACCAGGGCCCCCAGGGCTATACATTTCCCTGAAGCTTACCAGATAAGGTATGGGCGCCTGCTATGTATTGCCCAAGGGTGATGTGTTTAAATATCCATTGCATATTTTAAATCCTTGGCTGGCTTAAAGCTGCAAGCTTTCTGTTTTCAGTGGATATAATGGGGGCATACATCCTGGAGCTTGCCCAACATTCCAAGAAAAGAAGCCTCAGCTAATGCAAAGTGTGTATGTGCCCGTGAAAGCTCCATGTCTACTTAACATTCAGTTTTTAGGATTATTTATGCCATAATAATAGATATGAAAATCTCTAACGGGTATTTTGTTTCCTTTACAAATTGTATTTGAATTTATGGGTGATTTAGAGCTTGTGCTTAAAGTCAGAATTCAGAACCCCAAAGAAAATGACTTCATTGAAATTGAACTGAAGAGGCAAGAACTGAGTTACCAAAACCTACTAAAAGTGAGTTGCTGTGAACTGGGGATTAACCCAGAACAAGTGGAGAAGATCAGAAAGCTACCAAACACACTGCTCAGAAAGGTAAGAGTTAAGAGTTTCTAAATGCAGAATCACAGTGGGTGACATCATGTTCTCAGAGCCGATCGTTTACACTTTTGCATTTCATGACACCAGAAATCCTGGCTGCAGAATGGCCAAACATGGTAGCTAGGTCATTTTCAATCCCGCGCTTTTAAGATTTGCACATCTAATCCATAAACCTTTTGAAAACCTCTGAATGGTCCGATCACAGTGGCTCACGCCAGTACAATCCCAGCACTTTGGGAAGCCAAGGTGGGGGGATCACAAGGTCAGGAGATGGAGACCATCCTGGCCAACATGGTGAAAACCCGTCTCTACTAAAAGTACAAAAATTAGCTGGGCATGGCAGCGGGTGCCTGTAATCACAACTACTTGGGAGGCTGAGGCAGGAGAATTGCTTGAACCCAGGAGGCGGAGGTTGCGGTGAATGAGCTGAGATAGCACCACTGCACTCCAGCCTGGTGACAGAGCTAGACTCTGTCTCAAAAAAAACCAAACCTCTGAATGACAAGTGACTCCCCAATTTAAGACTTTAGTTCAGTGCTTTTGGCCCTACCGATCTCTGCAAAACTGACTGGTTAACATAAAATGACATAGTCCTCAGGAAAGAAAACACAAACCCGTCCTTGTTTGCTTAGCAAAGCGTGGGTTTGCTAAGCATTTGAAATATTAGCAAACAAAAATTGTTTTGCATTTTTATATATTTCCCAGATTCAAAATACAGATCTTAATTTTTAATTTTGGAAAGGAAATCTTATTTCTTTGAAAATTTTTCTTTAAAGCTTTCAAAATTCCTTTGGCAATTTTTTTGTTTTTTATTTTTTTGAAACAGGGTCTCACTCTGCCACCCACAATGGAACGCAATGGCATGATCATAGCTCACTGCAGCCTCAAAATCCTCGGCTCAAGTGATCCTCCCATCTTAACCTCCAGAGTAGCTGGTACTACAGGGACACACAACCACGCTCTGTTAATTTTTTTTTTTTTTTTTAGAAATGGGTCTTGCTATATTGCCCAGTCTGTTCTCAAACCCCTGGTCTCACCCTCCTAAGTACTGGGATAACAGGTGGTGAGCTGCTGTGCCTTTGGCAATTCTTACTGGCGTCTTGGCTGATAGTGTATATTCCTTGTAAACATGTCAAGGGATGATCATGCCTTCCAGATACCTTAACAATAAAAATCTGCTGGGTGTGGTGTCTCATGCTTGTAATCCCATCACTTTGGGAGGCTGAGGTGGGTGGATTGCTTGAGCTCAGGAATTTGAGACCAGCCTGGGCAACATGGTGAAACCCTGTCTCTACAAAAAGAATACAAAAATTAGCTGGGTGTGGTAGACTTGGGAGGCTGCAGTGGAAGTGGAAGGACTGCTTGAGCCCAGGAGGTTGGAGCTGCAATGAGCTGTGACTGTGCCACTACACTCCAGGCTGGGTGACAGAGCAAGACCCTGTCTCAAAAACAAAAAAACAAAAAAACAAAAAAACCAAAACACCAGAACTGTCTTATAGGGACCGGGCACAGTGGCTCACACCTGTAATCCCAGCATTTTGGGAGGCCGAGGTGGGCAGATCACCTGAAATCAGGAGTTCAAGATCAGCCTGGCCAACATGGTGAAACCTCCCTACTAAAAATACAAAAATTAGCTGGGCATGATGGCGTGTGCCTGAATCCCAGCTACTCAGGAGGCTGAGGTTGCAGTGAGCAAGTGAGGCAGGAGAATCACTTGAACCCAGGAGGCAGAGGTTGCAGTGAGCCGAGATTGCATCATTGCACTCCAGCCTGGGTGACAAGAGCAAGACTCCGTCTCAAAAGAAAAAAAAAATATGGGTTCAGAACCCAAGATGCTGAACAATATTAAGTCTTTCTATTACATTCAAATGTATTAAGTATGATATAATTTCTTTTCCACATTAAGGATAACGACATTCGAAGACTGCAGGACTCTCAGGAAGTGGAACTCATTTTAATGAAAAATGGAAGCTCCGGATTGACAGAATATATACCATCTCTGACAGAAAGGCCCTGCTATAATAGCAAAGCTGCAAAAATGACTTATTAAATAATCCCAGGAATGGCTGGGCGTGGTGGCTCATGCCTGTAATCTCAGCACTTTAGGAAGCCAAGGTGGGCAGATCACCTGAGGTCAGGAGTTCTAGACCAGCCTGGCCAACAATATAGTGAAACCCCGTCTCTACTAAAAAAAATACAAAAATTAGCTAGGTGTGGTGGCACACACCTGTAGTCCCAGCTACATGGGAAGCTGAGGCAGGAGAATCGCCTGAACCCGGGAGGCAGAGGTTGCAGTGAGCTGAGACTGCACCACTGCACTCCAGCCTGGCAACGGAGCAAGACTCTTTTGAAATAAATAAATAAATGAATGAATAATCGATCCTAGGAATAAAAAACTGAAATCATTATTTCATAAATAATGAAGTCTGGATGCATATACCAATTTGCCTAACTTCATGTTTGAACTGTGAGAAATTATTATGTTTCCTCATCTCCAATTTCTCTGGGCTAGGAGAAGAGTTAAGTTCAGGGTTTTGACAAACAGCTATAAAAAACATCGCAAGGTATATTTACAACAAGGGCAGTTTATTTTGTAGAGTTGTGCCCCAATCCTGATGAGTATAGGTGTGCTTTATGAGATTCAGTCAGGACAAATGGCCAGGGTCTCTTCACGTGAACCCACATGGGCAGGGTGAGCTGATGGTGCTGGGAAAGCCAGGACCCCATTGCAACGCAACAAATCATTATGTCCTTTTTTTTTTTTTTTTTAACAAGACAAGAGTTTTCACTCTGTGCCCGATGCCTGAGTTGTATGTCATTGATCTTGGCTCACTGCAACTCTGCCTCCGCTGGGTTCAAGCGATGTTCCGTGGCCTCAGCCTCCGACGGAGCTGGAATTACCAGGGCAGTGAACCACCAGCCCTGGTGAATGTGGGGAGTGTTTTAGAAGAGTTTCACCATGTGCGCGGAGCGCTGGCGGAACTCCTACCCTAATGATCCACCCACCTCGGGCCTGCCCAACAGTACGGGGCGGATTACGTAAGTGTGAGCGCACTGTGCCGCGCGGCCCACAATTCTCCTTTCACCTTTCTTTTTTTTGTTTTTTTGAGACAGAGTCTTTTTCTGTCATCCAGGCTGGAGTGCAGTGGCGTGATCTCGGCTCACTGCAACCTCTACCTCCTTGGTTCAAGTGATTCTCCTGCCTCAGCCTCCTGAATTGCTGGGACTATAGGCATGTGCCACCACACCCGGCTAATTTTTGTATTTTTAGTGGAGATGGGTTTTCACCATGTTGGCCAGGATGGCCTCGAACTGACCCCAAGTGATCTCTTGGCCTCCCAAAGTGCTGGGATTACAGGTGTAAGCCACTGTGCCCAGCCAATTGTCCTCATTTTTAAACGTGTCCTCATACTATCACTTCCTGTTTACACTTTTTTAAATTCATCTACAAAATGGCATGATTTCTGAGTTGAGTAAATAATGCCTTTTTTTTTTGAGATGGAGTCTCACTGTCACCCAGGCTGGAGTGCAATGGCGCGATCTTGGCTCACTGCAATCTCCACCTCCTAGGTTCAAGCAATTCTCCTGCCTCAGCCTCCCAAATGGCTGGGATTACAGGCATGCTCCACAATGCCTGGCTAACTTTGGTATTTTTAGTAGAGACGAGGTTTTGCCATGTTGGCCAGGTTGGTCTTGAACTCCTCACCTCAAGTGATCTGCCCGCCTCGGCCTCCTAAAGTGCTGGGTTTACAGGTGTGAGCCACCGCATCTGTCCAAATATGTTTTAAATTTTATTTTTTAAGACGAGGTCTTGGCCAGGCACAGTGGCTCACGTCTGTAATTCTAGTTACTCAGGAGGCTGAGGCAAGAGAATTGCTTGAACCTGGAAAGTAGAGGTTGTAATGAGCCTAGATCGCGTCACTGCACTCCAGCCTGGGAGACACAGTGAGTCTCCGTTTCAAAAAACAAAAAAAAGGACAAGGTCTCACTATGCTGGCCAGGCTGGTCTGGAACTCCTGGGCTCAAGTGATCCTCCCACCTCGGCCTCCCAGAGGGCTAGGATTACAGACATGGCCACTATGCCCAGCCAACAACAATTAACACCTTTGAGACTATTAACATACCACTTACAGAGTAGGCGAGGCACAGCCCATACCACTGGTCTGTTAAATAAACCGAAACACCAGCTGGTGCCCTCACATACGTCTAAAGTGAGCTGTCATCACATCCCATGCTACATTCTTCCCTAACACACTCCCTAGGATCCTTCCAGGTCAGCTTCCTTGCCAAATTCTAGTTAATAACTCTGCTTGCACCTTGTACAGGCTCATGCAATGGCTTGACCCTATCTACCCACTTTTATTCACACACGCCGCACTGTCACTTCTTTACATACCTGTTCCTCCTAGACCATGAAGTCATCTCTAATCCTTGTGGGAGAGGTATACATAAAATACCAAAACTCCTTATGGCCAAAGCATAATGTCTTACTTGCATCCCAGCACATGCTGTCAGCCACTGTTCCTTCAACTCCAATTTCTCAGTAGTTCAACTTTGATGAAGAGCAGTGGACACATAGGCAGCACATCAAGATTTATCTTACCCAACTGTTCAAAACAGAGAAAAATGGTTCCAATAATAATAAGCGTGTCCTGTTTCATTCAGAAAATGTCATTTGAGACCATCTGCAACTTGCTCATTATTTGCGGCCTCCAGGAACAAGGTGACAGAAGCACTTCAGCAGAGTGCAGCTCAGCGTCTAAACTGCATTTTTTAAACTTTGAGGCCAGGCACAGTGGCTCACGCCTGTAATCCCAGAAGTTTCAGTTTAGCCTAAGCAACATAGCAAGACCCTATCTCCTAAAAAAAAAAAAAAAAACTTTGGGGGCACATTCACTGTCACCCAGGCTGGAGTGCAGTGGCACGATCTCGGCTCACTGTGCAACCTGTCTCACAGGTTCAAGTGATTCTCATGCCTCAGCCACCCAAGTAGATGGGATTACAGGCATGCATCACCATGACCAGCTAATTTTTTAAAAAAAATTTTGGCAAGGTTTTGTCATGTTGCCCAGGCTGGTCTCGAACTCCTGGCTTTATGTGATGTGTCCGCTTCAGTTTCCCAAAGTGCTGAAATTACAGGTGTGAGCCAACGCGCCCGGCCAAAACTCATTTTCTATAACACAAGTAAGTCTTAAGGCTGCAGATTATCAGTAAAACAAAATTTGAAAAGCTTTAAGAGTAATTTGATTAGTCTTCACCTCATGCATTGATTATAAAAAACTAATCCCTGAGTAGGGTGCAATTCCACTGATTTTATTTATTTATTTATTTATTTAGAGACAGAGTCTATGTCACCGAGGCTGGACTGCAGTGACGCGATCTTGGCTCACTGCAACCTCTGCCTCCTGGGTTCAAGTGATTCTCCTGCCTGTCTCCCAAGCAGCTGGGACTACACGGGCCCGCCACCATGCTCAGTAATTTTTTTTTTTTTTTGTATTTTCAGTAGAGATGGGGTTCCACTATGTTGACCAGACTGGTCTTGAACTCCTGACTTCATGATCCACCCACCGCAGCCTCCCAAGGTGCTGGGATTACAAGCATGAGCCACCGCACCCGGCCAATTCCACCGATTTTTAAAATGGCCTTAAGTGAAATTAATCAGGTACCAAAATGCCATCCTGAGAAGTCCCAGAACTATTTAGGTTGAAATATGAAATGACCTAGAATTCTTAGTTGTTCATAACCTCTGTGCACTTTTAATAGGGTGATTAGTAACTCACAGCCCTACCCCTTTCTACTCCCCTTTCAGAAGTCCTACGTACAAGGCACGGCCCTGAGGGTGCCACTGCTGCAGTGAGGACAGATTCCATAGTGGAGGGGGCTGAAGCTGCACCTTGGTGTATCCAAAGGTATCAGTTACTCCACAGCACATAGGAACACTCAGGGATGTGTGTTGGACGAACTCACAACCTAGCCCTATGCTCATACTGAGGGGATCCAAGTTTTACCTGGGGCATAGTTGAGGGGTAACACAGCTACTGTGAACTGACGTAGGGCCTTAGTTATATAAGCCTTATGAATCTGCAAGTGCAATTCAAATTTCCATCACTTTCCTCTTTTTAAAGAGTAAACATTTTTGTGTTCACGGTACCCCTACTAAAATTAGAACAAGGCCAAAGCAGCAGCCTCTCTGAAGTGACAATCTAACTTGGGCCAGGGAAAGGAGTACAGCACAGTCCAGCAGTTTTCCTTCCCAGAATGGCATAAATCTGAGAAAAGCTTCTTTGGAAGCTGCTTAGACAGGAAAACAAAAGCATCAGCTCCCTGGCTGGCAGACAAGTAGAAATTATGTTAAGATGAAAATAAGATATCACACAGAAAACATACATTTAGGTCTCGTTTCTAGCTTTTTTTTTTTTTTTTGAGACGGAGTCTTGCTCTTGTCGCCATTTCTAGCTTTTTAAGAACTACAATTAAGACCTCAATTTGAAGACTGGGCACAGTGGCTCATACCTGTAATCCCAGCACTTTGGGAAGCCGGGGTGGGCCTGATCATTTGAGGTCAAGAGTTTGAGACCAGCCTGGACAACATGGTGAAACCCTGTCTCTACTGAAAATACAAAAAAAAAGAGCCAGGTGTGGTTGCACACACCTGTAATCAATCCCAGCTACTTGGGAGGCTGAGGCATGAGAACGGCTTGAACCCTGGAGGCAGAGGTTGCAGTGAGCTGAGCTCGTGCCACCGCACTCCAGCGTGGGTGACAAGAGTGAGACCCTGTCTCAAACAAAATAAAACCTTAAATTGGGCACTCAAGAAACAGTATCTTTAAATTTGTCACTCACTGATGGTTTTATGAAATACACTACAGCTTATATATCTATTAGTAACTACCTGCACCAAGACTTTTTCCCATTCTTTTTAAATTTTATTAAGAAATATCGTACATACAAAAGCACATAAACATACAGCTTAAAAAAGAAAATGCCCACAGGGCTTCAGAAACAGACCCTCGCCAGTTCCTCTGAAGACCCCTCTCTGCCCTCATGATCACCTCTCCCTCCGTCAGAACGGCTAACATTGAATGTTGTCTTAATCGTTTCCTTTTATCATGTATTTGACAGCCTGTTTTTGACTTTCATCGAAATGGAACCAGTGATGTATTCTTCTGACTTGCTTTTTTTTGATCCTTCTGTTGTTGAGTTTTGTCCATGTTCACATACAGAGCTGCAGTTCAATTTCACTTCTGTGGAATTCCACTGTTGGAATATACCCACAGTATTTATCCAACGCACTGTTGGTGGACACTTAGGGTCTTCCCAGGTTTTTTCTTCTTTTCTTCCTATTACACGCAATGCTTAAATCCATCCCCTGGTACACATGTGTAAGAGCTTCTCTAGGGTATGTATCCAAGAGTGAATGGCTATGAGAGGTTATGGCACACCCACTTATGCCAAATTGTTTCCCGTTTCCCAAAGTTGTTGTTCCTAAACATTCTTAAATCTGTTGACAAATGACCTATTTGGGATGGCTGAGGGGAGGAAATAGATCAGCTACAAAACTCTTGAATTTTTAAAATAGTAAATTCAAAATTCTGATACAACAATGAAAAATACATTTACTTCTCTGCTTTGGCTTACTTGAAATGTACTTTTTAAAACTACAGGTTCAACTTAAAAGTGCTGTCTCCTTTATCTCAAAATAAATGTTTCTAAATATTACCAGGTAAAAACAGCAAGACTCAGAAGATATGTGTATACCGTCATATATTTTGAAAGATCTATACATAAATGTTTATATTTTCTCCCACCTCCCATCTCCCCACAAAGAAACTACTTGGAAGAATAACTGTTAACAGCAGCAAGCTCCTGCAGAGGAAAAACAGAGGGATAGGAGTAATAGGAGACAGATCACTAAACACTTTTTTTTTTTTAACCATGGGCAACATTACAATTATAATACAAAATTTCAAAAGTAGACCTGGGGTTCTTTCACAAACAACTAAAAAATCCCTCAGGAAATTAAACTTGAAAACTAACCCTGAATGAAGTCCCATCCCACAGAATTGTATACATAATAATAACTTCAGGTGTTTTATGTTTCATGCACATAACATGTTTAAAAACATATTCACATAGCCCATCGGCAATGCATTTTTAAAAACAGAATGGATGAGGGCTCAGAGAACTTCCACCATAAAAATGTTCAGTTCTTACAACTCTGAAAACTTCAATCAGAAGGTGGCTGAGCTCAACCAATGTGGTCCAAGTGTTCTCAGACCTCGGAAATAAGGCTGATTATCCTCTGTGACACTAACTATATTTAAGGAACCAGAATGCCTAAGGAGAGGGGGTAAAAATATCTGAGCTGAGCAGTATGACTAGGTTATTATAAGCTCAAGATCAAGAAAACAAGAAGGATGTTTCAACCCAAACTGAAAAATGACTGGACTGTGTTTGAAGGGGAAAAAAAGTGTTTTAACAAAAAGAAGCATGATATGTATCATCTCTACATTCCAGAGGAGAGGATGTCTTGAACAGCAGACTGGTCGGTGCTCTTGAAAGGCTCAATGGAAATTAAACTATTGGACCAGTGCTATATAGTTTGATGACTGACAAAAGTTTACCCAATTTGTTTTATACTAATGAACTGTTATTTAAGAGGTCTTTGTCTTTTAGAGTTACATGTTGAATTATTTACAGATTAAATGGTGTGTCTGAGACTTGCTCAAAAATAATAGGGGACAGTGGATACAAATACAATCACTCATGAAGCATAAGAGTGGTCATGAGTCTTGTTGGTGATGAGTTAATAGAGGTTAATTATATTGTTCCTCTTTTGTGCATGTCTTTAAATTTCCAAAATAAAGTTGTTGGTTTTTCTTTAAGACCAACTGATTACAGATTTCAAACTTCCCAAGCAATCTGATTAAAACTGGTTTGCTCCCCTTAAAGACTTTCCAAAGAGAAAAAATATATTCCCCAACTAATAACTTTTTGGTCTGCAAGGCAGAAATGTTTGTTTCTTCTACTGAACTGGTCTCAATACTGGATTCTTAAGAGATGGTTACCAAGAATCAGTTCCTCTTCAGCCACATCAATTTTGGGTATAAAATTCAACTTCTAGGTCTCTCTCCATACTAAAGCCAGGTCTTAGTCATAGCTGCCCTGAGGAGGCAGGTCCTCCTCCCACCGCCCCCAAATCCCAGGTAACTTCAATTGTTATAATAGATCTAAGTGTCCATAGAGGAAGCCTTTTCATATGAGCTCATTGATTATACTTCATTTAAGTTAGATGCTGATTCTAGAGGAGACAGAGCAGAACAAATCTTGTATTTTAATAACTTCCTAGATTTTTTAATACTTAGGGACAGAATATGGTTTAAAAACTATCATTTTAAGTCCTTTGCTACTACAACCACAATCTTGTCAAACTACACAAAGCAGTGCCTGGGAGCTATCTTTGTGTTTGTTAGATTTTACTTCCCATTTTATCTTAATCCTCATGGGAATCATCTCTTACAAATTCAGAGATAACCCACTCATCTACTGCTGCATCTCCAGGATCAGCTAGGGAGCCAGGAGGGCTCTGTCTCCACAGCATTGTTTCCAACAGAGCCTCTAAAGTGGGGGCTTCATTATTTTTCAAAGTTTGGTGGAAGACATTTTAGTAAATTCTTTTAACAATTCATCATGCCTATTAGAATCAACACACTGTCTTAACAGTTAGGCAGTGGACCATGAGACAGAGACCTAGCAAATCCATAAACATGAAGCCACAAGACCCTCCCTGGGTACATCATTTAACACACTCAGTTTCTTTACCTATAAACTGATAGCAGTATTTGAAAGTTATAAACCACAAGGAATTGCTATGATATATATGTGCGTGTGTATATACGTAGCTGGAGAGAATACTTTTATACAGTTGAAGAAGCTGGCTATAGATAGAAACATGCTGCCAGTTTTCCTAGATGTGACACAAAAATAATCATTTTGGGGGGGGGGGAACCCTTGCCATATATACTACACACCCTATACACAAGTACATTTATAAACTGACACGACCGGGTGAGAAGAAATCTTGATACAGGACTTAACAAAAACTAGCACTTGAAAGCTTTTCTACATCATTATTTCATAGCTAGCTAGCTAAAGAGTGCTTGTCAGAAGGATACTTGGAATTTTCTACTAAAGGAATTTCTCAGGGATGTAAAAATATATTCTAGTTCACTGTACATCTTTGCTATTAAAAGCAAAATTCAAATTTATTCATAACCACCTAAAATTGAAGCACCATTATTTAAAACATTAGAAACTCTATAAAAATTAGTCTTAAACAGAACAAATTAGATAAAACTGTACACCAACACCTCTAGTGATAGTGTAACTCTTGTATTTAAAACAGGGGACTAGTTCAGAGTCAATAACTTTATTAGAAAAAGATTAATACTAAAACCTTTCAATGACAGAGACAATCAACTTTGTAACAGAAAGTCAGATATACTTTATTTTTACTTCTAAATCCAAAGGCTAAGTAGAGCAGAGTTGTAAAAATGAAATCCCACTTAGTCTGATTCACACGAATACTAACGTTTAATCCTGTTTTCAAAGTCCAAGAATGAAAACTTGCAATTAAACACTGAGCAAGCCACATGTTTAAGTAATATTTCTTAAAAAGTCTTAAAGAAAAAAGTATGATACAGGACCTAAGTTTTCAGTGGCATATATACTATTAACACATGTTCTGAAATCTGGTAGGTCACATCAGTCCTGAATTAACTTTTAATAATAATAATAATTAAAAAACTAACTGAGCTTTATACTTTTTCTATGCCACTATAGCTTTCTTTCACCTCATTTTTTAAATGTCGATCTTCACTTTATGCCGTTCTCAGTATTCTTCCAAAAATCTTCGAACAGTAGTCCTACAACGCAAAATTTGGGGAAAAATGATAATTAGACAACATGTAAAAGGCCAATTTTTATGAGAAAGTGTTGGCCCAGTCACTAACTGCTAATTAACATGTGTATATGGAATGCTTGTATTCTTTTTAATTATCAAGGCATCAGTGTGGTTCTTAAAGCCATGTGCCTGTATATGCTTCCCTACGTGTGAATGACACACACAGATATAATCTTACATTGCTTTCCCAAAAGAGGAATGCCATCAACAAATAAACTAATTGGTACTTCCTTTCATTAGGAATATTTTGTCCCACGCCACTAGCCCACAGAATGAAGTTTACAGGTTTTAAGAACACTTACAGTACCTAACTTTTAATAGTTCTTAAAAAACCCAAATTCATTCTATATAGTGCATCAGTTCTTTGATTTCACAAACTGAAGGTGTCTGTCCTTGCTATTCACACTGCTGCTTTAAATGTATCAGCCAGTGAGTGACTATTCCTACATACCTATGGCTGACTGCAAATTCTCCTACACAGTAGGAAATATTAAGCACATACCTCTTATAGACTTGAGAATTGCATTGAGTGTAACAAGGCGAATAATATGAAGTGTTTATTGTATTTAAAATTCTTTAAAGATATCTAATTCTGGCCACCACTGCAGCCCTACATACAGTTGAAAAAAAATTCCATTCTGTTAACATTTGGTAAGTTTTCACGCAATACACAAAAAACCCCTCTGCACTTCTTGTAAAGAACAAAAAAGATACACAACAGTTAAGCGTAAAGATCACAGGCAATAGCATTCAAACATGGATGTGGGTAGAGAAAGGAGTACCTGGCATGAGTACCTGCTTAGTTTGACTGAATCCTTGATTTTTAATTTGGCTTTTCATGGGCCGCTCACAACACCAACGCTGTGTGAGGTATGGTAGTCAGCTGCAATAATTCATAAACCCTACACTTCCATCAATCCAATGCTACTGGCTCTCGAGTTACAGAACAAACTGCATTAGAATGCAAGGCAATAAAGCAAAAAACTAGAAACATCCTTGACAAAGAAATACTAGCAGTTTAATTAAAACAAAGTAGTCCAACATGTGCCTCCGAAATATTTAAGTTTTTAAAGCATATGTCTCTGCCAATGTACCAACACAAGATGGACTTAATACCAAAAAGAAAAAAAAAAAAAAACAGTTCAACCTTTTTATTAAAAAAAAAAAAAGAAATGACAGCAAAATCCCTAAAAAAAGGATAATTAACTTTTCAATGGCGACTATATTACAAATGTGGGCAATAATTTCCAAAGAGGCACACTAATGGGGGCACGAGTCTGCTACAAAATAGCTGAGACAAAACAATGTACCTCAAAATGTTTTGCAGGACTACACTGTCTTTTCCTTCAGAAGAGGCTTTTGTATGTCTTCTTACTCGGCTTAGTTCCATCTTCATCTGTGCATACTTACGCTGCACTGTCAAACAGTAACAAAAAGCCCTAATCAAAGTGAGAAACAATACACTTACCTCTGTCTGATCTGAGGTCTTATCAGATCAGTTTTAATTGGACTGAGTGTCACCTTCAGATTTAATGTCTTCACTGGTCCCATTGACCTCATTCTTAGTATCACTTTCCTTCGATTCAGTGTTTGTGTCTTCACTCTGCTTTTCTCGACTACCGGACTTCACACTACTTTTTTTATCATCAGATCCCCTCTTTTCTGCCATAAAAGAAGACATTGACCATGGATTTTAAAGTAAAATACAATAAAGACATGATTTTGAAAAAAAGTGAAACAACTGAGAGATGAGAGACAATCATTTCTCACAGACTGCAAGCAACAGTTTGGTGAATTTACCAAAGGGACAAAATTTGTAATATATGGGAGAGAAGGCAGGAAGGGGAATTCAAGGAAGCAAAAGGTAAAATAGTGGGCAAATTCTCTCAATTGCTGAGAAGCTATTAAGCACATTGCAGAATGTAATATTTAAATAAATTTCATTGTGGGTAAAAAACATCAAAAAGCACTGGGAAAGGTATAAAAGACAGCATACAAAACTATGTTCACATGAGGTTCAATTATTAAGTTAGAAGGGTAAAAATGGTGACCCCAAAAGGTGAGAAAAAGTTGAACGTTTATAACAGGCATGTTTTTAAAAATACAATTACATATTTTAAAATGCAAAAAACATGTGTGTGCATATATATATATGAATATCCAAGAAGGATAAGCCTAATGAAAGAAAATGATCTTAAATCCCAATCTAAGCAACTGAACTTTTGTGCTTTGCTAAGAAAAGTCATATATATGCCATCTGAGAGTTGTTTTTCCAAAAAGAGAAATTACAATTCAACTCAGCTGCAAATGAAGAATGAAAAA